GCCAAGTAAAGGCGCACGCAGCAACACGCATTTTCCCGCCTATCAGACGTAAAAGGGAAGAGAACCAACAAAGCGAAAATGGTTAAATACAAACGACAAAGTCTCATTTCCTTCCTCCCTGCGGTACAACAACAACAAAAAAAAAGGTGAAGGAGAAAGAAAAACACTACAACAACAACAACACGAACGAGGACACCGTCAAATAAAACAAGGCACCTTCATTTCCTGCGTTTCTTCTGCCTCTTTTGCAGAGAAGAAAAATTGCATTGCCGAGCCTTGTCGCCCTCCCCGTGAGGTTTCTTCGGAATACTCTCCTTCTTTGCCTTCTTGAGTGCCTGTCGCACCTCACGCGGGCTTGCCCTGGAAAAAACCTTTGCTGCAATCTGCCTTCGCGCCTCTTCTGCCCGTGCCATCACTATCGCCTCGTCTTCCGCCGCTTCCGCCCTCTGCACCGCCTGTTGCTGCTCCACCTCCCGCTCATGAGCTTGACGGTTGCGCTTGCGCCGCGAAAAGCCACCCGCCGCTTCCTCTGCAAATGCACTGAAAAAGCCACCATCGTCCTCTGCCCACTCCTCGACATTCGCGGGTGCTGTCGCACTCTCTCCGGCCATCGAGAGACGTGAAATAAATGCCAAATCCAATTTTCCTGTCCAACACCCACAGATCTTCCAACTACTCTCCGCGAGAAACAACACTTTTCCAAGCAAAAAAGAAAAAAAAAAGACCCATTCAGACCAAAATCACAGTACCCAATGTAATTTAATCAGAAGCGGCAGCAAACATAAAAAAACAAGAAAAAACCACCACCAGCGCAATAAACACGTTCATCCCAATCAAAAAGTAAAACCAGGAAAAACAAAAACAAAAACAGAGTGTCAGGTGAAGAAAAAATCCTACTGCTCCGTAACCTTCGTTGTGAGGTTCTTGAAGGAGGCGACGGGAACGTTGGAGATGACGGTGTAGAAATGCTTGCGCTTGCCTCCCTCAAGAGTCTCGGACTTGCGCTCCACATGCACGCGGACACGGCCCGGAACACCCTTCACACCCTTGTGCCAGACGTACGTGTTCAGAGAGGCGTCGATGCGGTTGTCCTTGGTCTTCATCAGCCGGGCAACAAAGGCCTTGATGCGCTTGATGGCAATGGGGGCACGCTTGTGGAACGTCTTCCTCTTGAGCAGCTTCGACAGGTGGATGGTCGCCTCCATGGTGATGTTGTCAGGCTTGCGGCCAGTGCGCTTCCGAAGCGCGGCACGGGTGATGCCACGCACGCGCGAGTGCTCGGCGGTGTTGCCAACGCCGTGGTACTTCTTGCGCTTCTCCGAGTCCATCTTCGCCAGCACACGCTTCCAGCGGCGGTCATCACGCGCCTTGCGGGAGGCAACAGCCTTCTTGCGGGCATCCAGCAGTGCCTGCTTGCGCTCCTTCCCGAGCACCTTGCCCTTGAATCCGGCACGTGTCATTTCACTCCACAACAGACACTGTGTTATTGGCAAACAGATAAAAAAACACGACAACGGTAAAACACGAAAAAATAATAATGAAGAGACACATCAATGGGTAGGCAAGAAATGGGTTACAGAGCTGGATATGGCGTGTCAACGTGGAGTTGTCACCATATCTTCTCTTAAGTGGTTTGCACCCCACTCTTCACGAATAAAGCGTGCAAGCAAAGAAAAAAAAAACTAGAAAAGAAGAAACAATCAATCAACCAGGGAGAGAAACTAGCTAGTCAAGATCGCAACGTCCGTACAGACCACACGGAAGCACGTCTACTGCTCCGTAACCTTCGTTGTGAGGTTCTTGAAGGAGGCGACGGGAACGTTGGAGATGACGGTGTAGAAATGCTTGCGCTTGCCTCCCTCAAGAGTCTCGGACTTGCGCTCCACATGCACGCGGACACGGCCCGGAACACCCTTCACACCCTTGTGCCAGACGTACGTGTTCAGAGAGGCGTCGATGCGGTTGTCCTTGGTCTTCATCAGCCGGGCAACAAAGGCCTTGATGCGCTTGATGGCAATGGGGGCACGCTTGTGGAACGTCTTCCTCTTGAGCAGCTTCGACAGGTGGATGGTCGCCTCCATGGTGATGTTGTCAGGCTTGCGGCCAGTGCGCTTCCGAAGCGCGGCACGGGTGATGCCACGCACGCGCGAGTGCTCGGCGGTGTTGCCAACGCCGTGGTACTTCTTGCGCTTCTCCGAGTCCATCTTCGCCAGCACACGCTTCCAGCGGCGGTCATCACGCGCCTTGCGGGAGGCAACAGCCTTCTTGCGGGCATCCAGCAGTGCCTGCTTGCGCTCCTTCCCGAGCACCTTACCCTTGAATCCGGCACGTGTCATTTCACTGTCGTCTTTCCTCTGCTTCCGTGATTGGTTTCTTCTTTTTAATGATGGAAAAAAGTGAAGACAACAATTTATAATAAAAAAGCAGAGGTTTGGTTTACATGCCACGGTGCGGCGCCACGTGCAACAGAATAGACTCCCCAAAAGAAAACTAAACAATCGCAGCCAAGAGAGAAGAAGAGAAAAATAACCTTAAACTCCAATGAAACAGTCAATGCAAAGTGATAGAGAGGAGCTGCATGAGAAATATGCTCCGGTCCACAGCGCTCAAAGGTGCGGCTTTTTCCGCCAGCAGCGGTGAATGATGCGAGGACGCCAAGAACGCACGCTGCGACGCATTAGTCTTTCGTCAATCAGCAGAACTGGCTGCCATCGTCTGTCGTGCGGCCGGTGAATAAATCGCCAAGCGGTGATCGTGGAATTAAAAAGATCGCCAATCGAAGCTACACGAAGGGGACATCCCCATTCCCCTGCCACAACACACACATATTCTCGCCGATGGCCCTAACAAAAAAAAAAAAAAAAAGCCACAGGAAAAGAATAGTAAAATGCAAAAAGGAAAAAAGAAAAAAAAAACACAACAAACAAGAGACATCGGATTTTTATTTGGATGGGTGGTGGTGGTTATTCTGTTCAAGAGAAAGAATGAAAGGAAAGTTCATTATACTCGACCGCTTCTTTTAAAAGTGGCAAATAGAGAGTTCATATAATTTAGAACTTTCTTTTTTGTTTCCTTTTTTTTTTGTTTGTTTGTTTGTTGTTATGGGCGGCTAACAGGCACATACACAAACACCACGTGGTAGATATATAACGCATATATGCGGGGAATGATGGAAAAAAGAATGAAACCACCAAAAAAAAAAAAAAAAAGAAAAGAAAAGAAAAGAAGAAAAACAAAAAAACAAAAAAAACAAAAGAAGTCATGTCCTTTAGTGAACACAAATAAACGTATGGATATGTGTGTTTGTTTACGAAAAAAATTTTCCCTGTTTTCTCTGCTATCCGGCCCCACTTGTTTATTGTTTTCTCTTCTAACAATTTCTAGCGCATATTAAAAGTGTTAAAAAATGCATACAGGCATGTTTCCTTCTTCTCTCGCTGTGTACCGTGTGTCGGTCTGCATGTAATGTAATGTTCGCTTGTGTCGTGGCTAATATTGCAATGGCCGAGGGGACAGCGACACAAGGTAAACAAAATAGGTAGCAGCGAGAAATAATATCCACAACCAAAAGAAAAATTTTATTTTAACACCCATTCACTTTATTCCGTGTTTCACTGCAGTTTCCTCTTCCTCCTCACCGCACCCCTTCACACACACACACACACACACACAAATAAAGACCACAGCGGTCGGGGGTGGTTGTGGCTAAATAAAAAAAAAATCAGCCGATTTAATCAATATAAAATTCATTCATTCATTACTCTCAACAATTTATCGCACTCACAGACATAATTTAGATATCAGTGGAAGCAATGAACAAAGACGACTGAGCATCAGACATGTTCGTTTCTTCTTCTTCTTTCCGCGCCACCTTCCCTCCTCCCACTCCTGCATGGCAAATACGGTACGCATTTTGAACGGGAGTGTGTATGCGTGTGTGGGGTGGGGGGTGGAAGGGAAATAAAACAGACGTAGGCACATAAAACAATAACAACAGAAAATCATGCGACTAAAAAAAAAAAAAAAAAAGCAATAATAAAAGAAAAAAAATGAGACACCGACTCTAATGCGTTCTTCCTTTTTTTTTTTTTCTTTTTTGTTTCCTTCTTCTTTTCATACCTCCTCTTCTCCAAGTAAATGGATTTTCTATCCCACCGCTTAAAACACGTATATACACAAAAACACAAACACACACACGCCCAAGAGAACACACCGCCGCTCCACAGTAATAAGAATATCCCTCTCCTCGTCCTCAAATTTATTCCTCCGGTTGCTTTACCCACCATTCATAAAGTCACACACAAAAAAAAACACACTCCCATAAAGTTCTCTCGCCCTCCCAATTTTTTCTTTTTTTTTTTCGTTTCTCGTTTACTCCCCTAATTTTTCCTTTTTTTTTCACCTTCACTATCTACTCTTTCATTGACCCCCTCCGCTCTAAATTACACTCGTGACCCCCCACTTTCTTTGCTTTGTCCTTGGGTAGAAAAAATTTTTTTTTCCTTCTTTTTCGTAGATGTAAATGTACGCATGGCATTCTGTGGAATTTTTCGAGTTGTCTTGTGTCGCTCTCCTTCTCTGTCTGTCTGTCTTTGCATGCGTGTGTGCGCTGTAAAAATATATAACTTTTTTTTTTTTGTCTAATTTCACTTTAAAGCATCGATGAAGCGGCGTACTTCCTCTAGAGACTCAGCGCTCAGCTCTGACAAGAGCACCTTTACTGCCTGCACGACACCTGTTTCTGTTGGGCCAATTTGAGGTGGTTGCAGGTGGATCGCACCCATCCCGCCGTTGCCAGAAGACGCCCTCTTGGTGTGAATGGAATGATTCATCGGTTCGAACTGGGAGTGGTGAGAGAATTCTAAATGCGTGCTCCGCCGCTTTGTCGCATGCGTCCTTGTAGGACTGCGGGAAAGAGAACCACGTCTGTCGCCGTTGCCATGTGCAGCATGGTCATCCGCATAGGCAGAGACGCTGTTATGGTGTGACCTTTGCGCTGTGAGTTTTGCTAATGACACGGTTCCCGATGTGGGCCCCGATCCAGGCCGCACTTTGCCCCTCGCAGGGTCGCAGTACATTGACGGGGGCGGTGCAATCGCCCTCAAATTCGGAAACACCCGGCACGCCTCCTCCCGCTCCTGCGGCAGAATGTCAATGTCGTCCAGGCGTCGCAAGCTCCCAACGGCGGCAATAACGAAGCGTCTGTAGTTTGGGTCCTGACAGATGGGATTCTCTGCGAGGGTCAGCACCGTCAGGTAGGGACTATCACTGAGGTGGAGCACTTGATTCAGATCCTCCACGCGGTTTTTGCGGAGGTACAGTTCGCAGAGTCGCCGGCAGTTCTCAAGCACCCCGAGCTCACTGACGTCGTTCAGGCTAAGAGAGAGCACCTCGAGGTTGCACGCACGCCGCAGTACGCCAATATCGCTGAGTTGCGCCGCGCATACGTTCAACTTCCGAACACGCTGTATGCTGTCCACCTTGGTCTTCTGCAGCACCAAGTTCTCCGTAAGAACTCCCGCCATGGTGAGGAGAGTCTCTGATAGTTATACTCTGTGGCTCAGTGCAGCAACAGAAAGATACAGCCAAAACAGCGGAGAGGAAACAAATAAACAAAAAAAAAGAGGCAAAAAGATGTCTGGGTCCAAGCCCAATTAAAGAAAAAAAAAAAAACGCAGTGAAACCAACCGCAAAAAAAAGGCGTGAACGCCTTTATTATGATTATTAAAAGAAGAAAAAGAGAGCACCAACGGATTTAAACTACGAAACAACAAAGAAAAAGAAAAGAAAAGCACGTGGCAAAAAATAAAGAGAGATGGAGAGACACGCAGAGGAAGAAATGACCGTCATGGTGAAAAACCAACCAGCGATGGTGGTGACGATAAAGGGCAATGATGATATCAACAATGAACATCACCCCCATTTCATTCATCTGCAGCACCACCACTGCCACCATCAGCGTGGCCCTCCGTTCTCTTCGTTTTCTTTTTCTTGATTGTTTGCCAACGTCTTGCTCTTCTCTTTTTCCTGTAATTGATTCACAAGTCGTGAGCCGAGTTTTGCGATACCATCGTAGTGCAAATGTACTCTTTTCCATTCCTCTCCGTTGCCCTTCTCATCCGTTTCCACAACTTCAAAGGCCTCTGGATACCGTTTGAGTATGGCGGTCAGTCGCGATCTCGCCCCTCCGTTGTTCTGCAAGTACTTGAACAAATGGCGTGGAAGAAGTGTTGTTAACACGTCGATGGCTTTGTTGTCGCCCCAATCCTCTTTTTTATTGCTGAGACGTGGCAATAGAAGCAGAAGGATCTCCTCATCGCTAAAAGCATTGTTCCTCCAGCTTTCCCCATCGCTCGGAACATCCTCCATTCCCTGTTCCCGTCGCATCACATTGAGTGAGGTGGTCGTTATGCTCTGGGTTATGAAAAGGTGCGGGAACTGATCAAAGAAGTCCACTCCAACGTGCATTGCGCCTTTGCCGCCGTCCGGCAGCATCGTCTCACGCACCATCGCATTGTTCACCCACACCCCTGGCGACATCTGGTCATAAATGTGAAACGCTACAACATCAGGGTTCAAGAAGGCGTTTCCGAGCGGAAAACAACGTCGAAACTCCTCCCGCACGATTGACCGACGCAACTTTTGCCGACGCAAAGGAGGGAGATTTCTGAGTTTTAAACGTTCTTCCTGCAGCTCCGCGTCCGTTAAGCCGCTGAGCTTCTCGCTCTTCGAAGTGAGGTGCCGCTGCACCTCCTCCTCAGACAAGACAAACTTCATTCCAAGAACTTCCCTTATCTCATCGCACGAAGCTCCATTCACATAAAACCGATCCGCATCAGCCGCTTCAAGGCACATGCTGGGGCCCAGCCACAGGGAAATGCGTTGTGGATATGACAAGGCCACCTGAAGTAATGGCGTTTGAAGAATATCATGGGTAAACGATTTCAACTCGCCGATGGGTACAAAACCGTCCGTTCGCAAATATCGCGAGAGACGCCACAGATCATATTGAGGGGAAGTGTCTTCAGCTTCCCAATGTGGTGCCTCTTCATTGAAGCTTTGGTTCACTATAGACTCGGCCTGAGGTCCACATGCAACAATTAAAGCTTCCTTGCCATGATAACCGACCTGCACATACAGAGACAACTCAGCTTTACTAGTGTGACGCTTTAAAATGAGTTCCACGCGCTTCATCAAAGATGCAAGGTATTCCTCCGTTGCCTCCATGGTCGGTAATTTCCAAGCACGTTGGCACGAAGTCAGCGGAACAGGTTTCCCAGGGAGAATACTACACGCCTGGGATAATTCATTCGGTGCAATTGATTCATTGCGTCTACCCACTCCAACGCATGGTTTCTCGGGAGTTTTTTGTACATCAAGCAGCCTTACACACAATACACCATTCACCATCTTCACGGCAAATTTTTTTTCGCCCGATTCTTCTGGACGGCGACAAAAACCGGCCAGTCCACCCAACTCCGCCAGGGCCTCACGTGCCTCGTCTGAGAGAATTGATGACACCCGTGATATGGCAACCCACGGCGGTGAGGCACTGGTGCCCAAACAAGAAACGGCCTCCTGAACTTCCCGCCGCAAGTGTGCCTCCGTTATGCAGGCTCTACTCTGCCACAGGCAACGCCATCCTAGGAGTGAGGCCGCCGTTCCCCAGCGACGCATACTGGACGCCATGATGCGCAGCAGAAAATGAAGAAAACTCAAAGAAAAGACAAAAACAGCAACAAGAAAAAAAAACAAAAACAAAAAACCGCACGTCAAATAACACACACACACACACACACACACACACAAAACAGAACAGACCTTCAACTGCAAATGAGCATTCCGTGTGGATGATGAAACACGCAATTCTAACGCAATTATACTGAGTCCAACCAGACCCTCACTTTATTTACAGGACCTTTCTCACTCTTCCCCAACACGAATAATTATGGTGGTGGTAGTGGTGAAAAATAAAAAAGGTTTGCCAAGGCCCATTCTTTCAACCACGCAATCGTCTTTCGCGATCCCACACATGCTTTGCAAAAGAGATAGCAAAGATGGATTGATGGGGTTTGCTAGGCTCTGGCTGGTGGTACGTGAGCACTTCTGCGGCAAACCCAATGGCCTTCAGTGCACCCTCAACGATGCCACCCATAAAACTTGCGTAGTTGATGCTCCAACGGCCTTCTCCATCCAAATACTCGGGCGATGGGTAGACATACCTCAATACAATGGGCTCGGTGTCAAAAATAAAAAAGCGATCGGAACCCGTTTCGCGTTGGAGGTCATTAGCGGGCTTACCGAACCAGCGTGACCACAATTTGTCCTGGAAAAGCTTCAACGCACCCTCAATAGTGATGGGACGTCGCTGAAGCTCTAATGGATCCTTCAGAGATGACAGCATGATAAGCCTTGCTCCGACCAACACACCAAGACTTGTCAGTCGCTGTTCGATCTCTTCAACGTTGGAGGCCTTGGACGGCGTATTATGTGCCCGTGTGCACATTTCAGAGAAGAGAAAACTAAACGCTGAAAGGGACACCTTCGCCTCTTCATTGGTGTTCCGACTTGACGCCTTGTCCGACTTGGAGCTCCGCACGCTATCGCGATACGGCATGAGCATGCTTTAAAAATAAGACGTGAGAAACGGAGAGAAAGACACTGTACATGCACGCCGCTTCAGTGTCACACACATGTGCCTCATCGGGACAAGCAAAACACACACGGGCGGAATAACAAAAAAAACAAGACACAAAAATGTCTCTCTTCTTTTTCTTCGCTTCGTTTTATTCCTTCCCCCCTTTCCACGTTGTCGCGTCTTTCTTATTTCTACTTCTTCGCTGGAGCTTTAATCGGCAGTGTGAGGGGCTCAACACCCTCACACACACATATATATGCACGGTAAGTAGAAAAGGCTGCAGAATAGCACAAATATAAGAAACTCCTACGTCGTGAGGACCGGAAATTTGCCACACACACACACACACACACACCAGACAATGCCCGGACCCGCTGCATTTTTTTAATCTCTTGGAGTAGTTTCGACCCAGGAGTTCGAAGCACTATCAAACGTCACAAGGATTACTGGTAAATCCACTTTTACGGAGTTTGCACTTGAGATGGCTAAGAGGAGCTTTTCATACAAGACAACCGTCATGACAGTTGTTGGAACAACACGACAGATATTCACGGGAAGGCCTCTGTAGAGGCCAAGAACTCCCTCGGAACGCCAAATGGCACAGAGTGCTCCTCGCATCGAACGATATTCCTTCAAAGAACCGTGCCGTTTATCCTGCAAACGGGTTCGCACAACCTCAATGGGATTGCATAGGATTGAGGCTGCAGCCTTTGATATGGCCGACGCAATTATCACCTCCATAAACGACGGATTATCCTTGTCATGGAAAGCCCCACGTTTTATTCCCTCATAAAGCGTTACTTGTATTGTTGTGCTTCCTGTCAAAAGAATTTGCGGCCCAACGCCACGAAGCAACGAAAAAAAGCCCTCGCGTTTCAAAATAGCCCTGGTTCCACAAACAAAACCTCGGGGTTCACCGTAACTTTTCACATCGTACAATTGTCGACGTGTTTTCAGCACATTCAGCGGCGTGATGACAACACCTGTAGTAACAGCAGCAATACACGCACTCAAAAAATCCTGTAAAGTGTGACGTCCACTGCTTCTGTGATCGTCACTGCTACAAGCCGTTTCCTCCGCAGCCAAAAACAGTTTCTGTTGTGCTGCCCTAAACGTCAACAAGTATAATCCCCACCCAACACTGTGAGCAAAAATGGACATGGTGATGCCATTGTACATGGCTCTCAATCCCTCCTCCCGAATAATTTGCCGCGCTGACCGCAATGGAAATTTGTTACCCCCTTTATATACGTGCATGCGTGTCCGTAGAAAATCCAAAGGGTAAAACAGTGCCATGGATATAGAAGCACCAATAACGCCTGCCACACCATGTGCCCAGGGCCTTACTGGGGTATGAAGGGATGTATACGTTGCATTTATCCCATTCTCACGTGTTTGAAGTGTCGCCGCCATTATCTTTTAATCGCAGTGACCTAATGCCTCCGTATCCAAATGTTATCCACACCCACCACTCTCTCCGTTGTAACAATTCCTTACCAAATATATGTATATTTATATATCTAACAAATAAATATATAATTATGTATATACATGGATAAGTGAATCAGCAACAACCCTCAACTGTGTAGTTGTAACGGTGGGAGAGTTAACAGCTGAAAACAACAACGCGGAAAAGAAGCGGCGAAAAACTGCCAGTTTTTTTTTTTTTATGTAGACTTGTTATCTGGCAATATGTGTGTGAAAAAAAAAAAAAGAAAATATTCCCTTTCACCCCTGCAAAAAACAACAACAACAAAAACAAAAAGGATTTGTTCGCGGAGTGTACAAAGAGAACACAGCACGGCAACAGGATGAAAAGGAAAAAGAATCAAACCCAACACCAAAAAGGGCAATCCACACCTTACCACTCAACCCCCGTCCTCCCTCCAAACCCCCAAAAAGAGGTAGGAAGAGGGAAGAGGGAGAGAAAAAATTCATTTTAGTTGAATTTACCTGATGGTCATTTGTATATATATATATACTGCAGCAGAGACTAGGAGAAAGTCCAACATGGCAACTCGTCATCCAATGAGCACCACGTACGAAAGGAAAAAAGGTGGATGTGCTCAGGACGTCGCCCACCCGTCCCCCAACTGTGGGAAGGTGAGTGTTGTGTGAGTCCTCAAACAATGCCCTTTTGCGCCAAACGATGCGTCAAGGTAAAAATAAAATAAAAATAAATAAAAAAGGGGATGAGACATGTATAAATTTGCCGAGTAACTGCAGAGCTACACCATTCCTCCTTGAATCAACCATCACTACTCAAACCAACAAAAACAATAACAACGAGGGGTACATTTTCAGCGTCGCAAGCATCACCCAGAAAGGCACAAGAAAAAAAAATATATATTTGCCCCTGACGTAAGCACATGCATAAAAATATTTTCTCTTTCCCCCATAAAACACAAACAAAACCAAATGAAAAAAAAAGAAAAAAGAAGAAAAAAGAAAAAAGGTTAATTGAACCTCTCAAATATATATCGTTTTACCTGTACCATCCTCTTTCATGCCCACATTACATCCTAAAGGCCGTTTTCTTTTTTCTTCTAGTGTGTACACTTATATTACGTCCGTGTTCGTCTCCGTCTCGTTGCTTATAAAATTTATTTTGCGTATTGACAATATACTTTTGTTGAGTCGGCCACGTTACCCAGGAAAGCAAAGAAACAAACAAAACAAAAAACTGAGCATTCTCACTGTAGCTCCGGCCATTGGTGGGATTCACGGCCCTCCTTGTCTAGCCGCTCGTATCCGTGGCGGCCAAATACATCCCTTTGCAAAGAAACAAGTTGACCGTACCTTAGCGTCGGGGTAAACATCCCATTAACGTACACCAGAGAGGCTGAGAGCACAGGGAGCGTCAAGGCTGTCTTGGAAGTGATAAAACCCAAGATATCGCGGTAGCTCTGCAGTCCTTCTCTTATTTCCTTTTCAAAGGCACAGAGCAGGTTACTTAGCTTTACATTCTTTGCGAAGGCCTCCGTCATAGGCTGAAGGAGATAACCCTTCAAAATGCAACCGGCGCGGAAAGTGGCAATGGTGGCTGGAAGATCCAAACCAAAATCATACACTTTATCCAGAGCTCGGAGGCATTGAAACATTTGCGCATAGCACGCTATAATCGCGATGGAAACAGCATGGTAGAGTTGTCGAATCTCTGGTGCGTTGGGACTCTTGTCCTTTATTGCGTATCCAGGGACTTTTAGAACAAAAGGAAGTGTCTTTGCATTTAGCTCACGTTCCGACTTGTACATTGTCATCTGCCGTGACAACACAGCCATGTTTAGACTTGGTGCGGGTACACCAACCTCTAGCGCTTCCTGCGCAGACCATAGACCCGTGCCTTTAGAACCAATACAGTCCTTGACGTGTTCAGAAAGATGGCTGCCATCCGCAACCTTGGCACGCGCGGCGACGATGGAAATATCGAGCATATATGAAGTCAAAAACCCCTTAGCCTTCCAGTCCTCAAATACAGCAGCCACCTCATCGTTGCTTAACCCCATTGCACGAAGAACGTCAAAGGCCTCGCCCCATACCTGCAGAACGGCATACTCCCCAGCGTTATGGTACATCTTGACACACGAACCGGCCCCACCACGGCCATTCATAGTGACACACGGACGGCCATCATCGGCCTTTGCCGCGGCAGCTTCAACCACTGGTTGGATTTCTTTCCATACACTCAACGTGCCACCGGGAAAAAAGGCAGGGCCTTTTCGGGCGCCCTCTTCCCCACCGGAAATGCCCATTCCAAGAAAACGCAGACCTGCTGCCTCCAGTTGTTCGGCCCGGCGGGTCTGATCCTTGAAGTGAGCGTTACCCGTGTCCACAATAATGTCATCCTTCTCCAGGACGCCTTTTAATTGCTCAATCGTCGCGTCAGTAGCAGCGCCAGCCTGAACAAGAATAAATATCTTGCGCGGCTTTTTAATGGCCATAATAAAAGACTTCATCGTCTCATATGCCTTGAGATTTGCCGCAAAAGGAGCCGAGGCATGCTCTTTAATAAAACTCTCCGCCTTGGAGTATGTGCGATTGAATACCGCAACGTGAAACCCTTTCTCTGCAATGTTTAGTGCCAGGTTGGCACCCATGACACCAAGTCCAACAATGCCAACGTCCATTGAAACTTCGTCTTTATATTGTATCCCCACAGAAACAACCACAAACACGGACACAAACACAACCAACCTATAACAGTGAACTAACAATAAACAGGAACCTTTACAAAGATCAGAAAAAAAGAAGATAAAAAAAAGGTTTTAAACCCATTATTATTATTATCATTATTATTATTATTATTATTATTTTCCCTATTCCCTCCTCACCTTTGGGAAGGACAAGAATTTAAATGCATGTACTCTTTACTCGCAACGGAGAAACACAGCATCACACATGACCAAATTCAAATTGAGGCACAACAAGTCACTATATCGACCCGCATTTGTGAGAACCCAAAGACAAGACAAGACAAAAACAACAACAGGGGCATCAGGAAAGACAAATATACGCGGAATTACACCCTGGACGCATCGGTCTGGTTGATTTTCATGATCATTCGAATCTTTTCTTGCTCCTTCTCAATCTTCGCAATAAGCCGCTTGCGACGTTTCCTTCGAATTAGCTCACGTCTGCTTCGGACCTTTGGTTGAGCAATTCGGTTGCACGAATCCTTCTCGTCGCAACGCTCACCAACCAACTCCGTGACTTCTCGCCGTAATCGCCGTCTTTTTTCCGCTTCTCTCTGCAAGTACTCCTGCGTCTCATCGGCATCAGGACCGTCAATGATGAGCACCAGCTGCCCTTTCTTGAGCATCATGTTTGCTTCCTGGCGTGAGTAGAAGGCAAGCAGTTTGACTGCAGTATCCGCATGCAGTGACTCGTTCATTTTGGTTAATTCGTGGGCAACAACAACGCGACGCCTTGGCAACACCAAAGCTATGTCTTGCAGAACAAGCAATAATCGCCGAGGAATCTCGTAAAATAAACAGGGGTAATTAGCCTGCCGGACGGTATTTCGAAGAATGCGAAGGCGTGCTCCATGCGACTCCGGCAGCATGTTTCCAAAGAAGAACGATCCGTCACGAAGAGAACGCAAAGAAGATAATGAAGGACTTTCGGCTTGCATCGCCGTGGAAGACGACTTGTCGCTCTCGTACGGGGAGAAAGTGACGCCAGAAACTGCCAGGGCGCATGTCAATGCACATGGGCCAGGCACTGCCGATACACGCACTCCTTCTGACTGCATCTCCCGAACCAACTCACTGCCCACGTCACCGACACATGGTGTCCCACTTGTACAAACCAGCGCCATGCTTCTCCCTCCTCTTAGTAGTTCCACAAGTTTGTCTTTGGATGCCGTACGATTGCTGCGGGAGTAATGAATAAGACGACCTTGAGCCTCAATATGGACCAATTCCAATAGTGTCTTGGTGGCTGGCCTATCCGTCGTAACAATGTAGTCAACCTGTTTAAGAACGTCAAGTGCACGGATAGAAAAGTCTTTCAAATTGCCAATAGGAACAGAGACAATGTGTAAAGTACCCGCATCAATTTTCGTTGGAGTCGTCAAAGGGTTAACGGCGTCGTCGGGGATGGTTCGTGTGTGGCGATACTTAAACGATCCCCAGCGCGGAGCAGTAAACATCATGACACAGCGCTTTTGCTGCATCTCCCCCTGGATCGGGCTGTTGCGTGTGGTGAGGCGCGAGACACACCGAGCAGCAAACCCTCGAATTGCCATTGGCTCCCTCCACCTCACAGCCACCTTTTGCAAAAAAAAAAAAAAAAAATCGCCCAAGAGAATAAAACCAGAATCCAAAGAAAAGAAACAAGATGACACACACACAAAACAACAACAACAACCAAAAATAATAGAAACAGAGGTGATGATGATGATTATCATTATCGTTAAAAATTATCGCTGCCTCCTCTGTGTTCGTCGATTCTTCTCCCTTTGTTTGGGAATTAAAAAAGAGCTTCCACCTCCACGTTTGCTGTTTGGTTATCGGTCGTTAATTCTATTATTGTTCGCAGCCCACTGC